GAGTCTAACTGCTGTTGGGATGAATGATCTGCGAAAGCGCTCCTTCCTGCAGCGAGGGTGTTTCAGTCTCTGACTAAAGAAGCTGCTCAGCCCACTCACATACTCACGCAGTGGGTGATGTGGGTAATGCTCCTCGTGGTGACAGGTTCCCTCCTCACCCTTCCCTCCCTCCCTCCTTCCCTTGGCACATAGTGGGGGGTGAGGTGAATCAGGTTGTGATCTGACCTTCCAAGTGGGGGGAGGGAGGAGGAGCTGTATGCATCCTTAGCATTAGCATACAGTAGGTCTAAGATTCTCTCCCCCCTGGTGGGACAGTCTACATACTGTTTAAATGCTGGTAATGTATTGTCCATGTAACATGGTTGAAGTCACCCGAGATCAGAATGAAGGCACTTGGGTGCTGAGTGGGTACTGTCACATGCAGCTCTGGGGTTAGCCGAGGGAGGAACGTAAACAGCCAGCAATCTGACGTGAGTAAATTCCCTGGGCAAATGATATGGCCCGAGTCCAACAGCACACAGTTCAATATCCGGGCAACAAAACCTTTCTTTTATTGTTATGTATAACAAAAACAGCAAGCCCACCTCCTTTCTTCTTACCACTACTGATGCTGTCCCTGTCTGCCCGAACAGTATGGAAGCCTTCCAAGGATGTGTTATCGTTGGGAATGTCCTGGTGCATCCATGATTTAGTGAAAGACATAAGACTACACTCCCGGTATTCCCTCTGACTCCGTACAAGCGCTGAGAGCTCATCAATTTTATTTATTAACGATCGCACATTTCCCATACGATAGACGGCAGACACGGTTTATACCTCCTCCTTGCTTCTAGCCTCCGCTGTCTCACCGTCTCCTTCTTTCTTCTCTTCTGTCCTTGACCTCTGCATCCCCGATGTGTTTTTCTCCAAATTTCAGCTGGTACGTCTGCAGGTCTGGCCAGCGAGTAAACAGTCCATGCAGTATATAGGTGTTGTCCCGTTCCTCGACAAAAGTAGCACTTCTGCGTCCACCAGCAGAACAGAAACTCTCTCAATCCACATGATTGAGGGAAAGATAATAAACAGATAAAAGTACAATTAAGGAAAAAAAGCTAAACTAATGAGAAAAAGCAGGACTAACTGTAACAGGCTACATGCTGGTTGGCGCATGCGCACTATTATACTATAGTATAATAGACCTTACTACTATAATAATGTGGACTCTATTAAATGAAAAGAATAAATTACACATCTATGAAACCTGCAGCTACTGTCTTTATTTAAAGTTGTAAGTATTTAAAGTCCATGTTACCAGGCTGTAGAGTTCTCTGTTAGTGTAATGGATTTAAAACTCTTTAAATCTTCAATTTTATCTCAAAGGACAACATGATATTTCTTCCAGTTTATATTTAACTAACTGCAACAATATTTTCAGTCACAATTACGTTATCAAGGGGTGGCAATACATTCTTAACTTTTAGAACAGGAGGAAGACGTTATGCATAGTATCTTTTTAAATGCTGATAATGACACTAATTACAATGTATTTTAATATCCTTGATCCTTGTACTCTTTGAAACCTCTCTGTTGACTATCAGTAAATATCTGAAACCAAGTCAGCATGAAATCAAATTAGGGATGAGGCAATTGGGTTTTTGTTTGTTTGGTTGTTGTTGTTTTTGGTTAAGAAATAAGTTATTTCCTGATTTTGCAAGTATACAAATGTAAGAGTATATAAACACTAGTCTCGGAGCTGTTCATCACCTCTATGGTGGAAGGCTGAAGCTAGTGGCTCACACTGAAAAGAAAGAAGACCTTCTACAAAAGGTCTGGTACAAACTCTTAAATGATCTTATCTCCTTTATTTAAAGAATTGACAGTAGTTATTGTCTTCTGTTTTTTCACAGAGACACCATGAAGCTCCTGGTTCTGGCTACACTTCTTTGTGGATTGATGGTTCTGACCACTGCTAGTGAGTATTGCAGTATAATGTAAAGTATGTAAATATATGTCAGTATGTACGTGTTTAAATAATTCGTCACCATCTAATGTTTTAATTTGTTCATTTCTGCCACATGAAGATGTCGGCAGTGGTGCAGGAGGTTTAATTCCAACAGGTCAGTGGACATTTCCATATTTTCACCAAAGTTAATCACATTTATAAAAAAAAAAAAGGAAAGCAATTGTGTTATGCATGATGAGTTTATAATAAGGAGGATATCTTTTAAGGAAACGCAGGTCAACAAAAAATATTTTAAAATATATAATTATATATAATACAGCAAGAGAGAGGAAGAGATATTATGAAATTTAAATTGCACATAGAAATAGAGTCCCAAAAAAAGAAAATAAAAACAGTCACAAGCCAGTTCAAAGACCTTTTAGATACATTAAAGTTGTTCATTTAGTATAAGTTGTATAACTATAAATACCATATTGGTTTGTCATTTTTCGGTTTAACAATTGCCTAAGTTTGAGCACAAGTCACATACCAGAAATGCCAGCCTAATATCAGCCTCATATCAGCCCTTCTGGCTATCAAAAAGTCGAAAGTTTAAATCCAAAGGTGACCATACTTTGCCACCATGCCCCCTCAGCTTTACCAGGACCAGAGATACTTGCAGATTCAGTTGCTAAAACACATTTCCATTGACTTTTTTTAAGTGATCATGTTTTGTTCTGTTCAGTTCTCTTTGTTATTGATTTTATGATTATTCCTATATTTATAATTTTTGATGAAACTTTGTGTTTGGAAATTTTACTGCCTATTACTAGAGTGAAAAGATTAATAACTACTAAAAGAAGATTGCAGCTGCATACATATAATTACAATTTATAACTGTAAGGGAATCAAAATGCCCTGCACATTTTCAGTCACTTAAACTACATAATATTTAATTGTCGAGATGGTATTTGTTTGTTTGTTTGTTTGTTTTTTTCAATATTGCATATGTCATGATTGAAAATAAAACAAAATATAATATCAGCTGGAGACACATGTACATACAGCTATTTATTTGTCACTAGCAAGGAGTTACCGGTTCAACATGTCCTCTGGTTGTCCTCATGGTTGGTCTTATTTCAATCATCGCTGTTTTGTCTACGTTCCAAGATCCATGAGTTGGGGTCAAGCTGAGGTAAGTTTCTCTGATTTGTATTGTCTTCAAAACTTGATTAAAACACATCTAGCCTAGTTGTGACTTTGAAAACCTCTCTGTGTAACTCTTTACTGAAGAGAAACTGCAAGTCAATGGGTGGACACCTTGCATCTGTGCACAGCAACAACGAGTACCGTCACATTCAGAAGCTCACTAGTGATCATGACTACATCGAAACTTGGATTGGAGGAACTTATGAATTCGAGGTACCTTTTTTTTATCAATACCTTTCTGTTTCTCTTAATGACAGATATGTCATTAATGAAAATACAGAAGCCACTGACAGATAAAAGCAGCTTAAATAATATTATGAATAATATGGGAGATTTGCCAGCTGGTTACATTCGTTATGTCAATTAAATAAAGCTGATTTGACAAGACTTTGGCTAGGCATGATCTTTAGGCCCGCCTGAACTGATGCTACCAATCTCTGTCTTCTAGGAAAAAGTTTGGCTGTGGAGTGATGGGAGCTCTTTTCACTATACACACTGGTGCCCAGGAGAGCCTAGTGGTGGCAACCAGAATTGTCTCCAGATAAATTATACCCGTAATTCAGAGCTTAATATTTAACATGAATACTTAATATGTGAATGATTTTAAATGAATTTACTAATTTCTGTTTTTGAACTTTGCAGCTTCCAAGTGTTGGGATGATCTGTGGTGTGACTTACGTCGGCCATCTGTCTGTGCCAAGAAAAAATCAACACTCCTCGGCTGACACTGAAGCATGAAACTCCCATAAAAACACAAACTGATGTATAATAGTGTTTGTGTTATGCTTGCTCCTTCTTCTTTCATTTTCTAGTTACATTTTTTTCCCTTCCTTGGTAGCACCCAATCTAAACATCCAAATGACAAATCAACAAAAACTGCATTGTCTTTTAGGCCTTGTGTCTTTAACAAGAGCAGACTAATTGTGTTACCACAGCATTGATCTTACAAAACTGTTGCTTCTTCTGTTTATCTCTTTATTTTTGCTGTTTTATGCAACATTAAAGCTATCAGTCAAGCATCTATCTGTGTTACATCTCTTGTGTTAAGGCATATACATATTTAGCAGTAGGGATGGGTATCGTTTAGGTTTTATCCGATACCGGTGC